AACTTTGCAGATCTTTGTCTGCTGATGTGCCTTGTCCTTTACCTGCCGTATGTCTGAATGTCATTGGCTCTTTATGCCACGTTGAATTCCAGTTGTTCTGGACTTCACCAGCTGGGTTATGTATTGGGCTCCAAGTGATGGACTTGGGTTGTTCATAGTGGGCTATAGCTTTTATGGACTTACCCGCGTCACTATAAATAATGCCCTAATGCCCGGGTGTAAATAGTAAAATTCAGTATTTTGCTAATTGCTTTTTTGGTAGTACTAACTGGTATTTTGTTCAATCAAATTACCATTTGCGCTTTAGCTAGTATGGTACCAACAATGCAATGTATCAATATATCTAAATTTGCTTTGAGTTTATTGTTCATGCATGGGTGGCTTCTTTTTTGTCCTATTTCTGTAAGAATTACCCTCCGTTTTCAAGCTATATATATATATATATATATATGCATATATAGACCAAGAATAGACGTGACAACACATGCATGGTAGGTCTCATCATGAAAGGCCACCGTGTATTTGGTTACAAAAGTTTCATTTTCAGTTAGTCTATTTTACGTTCTTTTTTATTTTTTATCAAACAAAAAATCCAGTTATAAATTTACTTGGAGAGGTGATTGAGACCCCTTCAAGTTCTTACTCTCACCATTTTCTACACATATGTGGGGGTTAGTGATTGGGAGAGAAGGAAGAAAATAAAAAAAATAAAAAAATAAAAAATAAATAAATAATTGGCCAATCATGTCGCAGAGGGGGTTGTGAGGGTTATTTTCTGTAGGGGTTCGGATCTTTTTCCATTTACTTTTTAAACTTATTTATATGTAAGTCTAAATTTTTTTTCCTTTCATAAAATACAATGTTTCTAACATGCTTTCATGAATGAAATTTTTTCTTTTCAAGATAAAGTGCTCAAATAAATCTTTTGTACGAGAGTCAGTATCCTCTCTCAATCAGGCATCCTAACAAACAGAGGATGAAAAATGTTTGAGGGCGTGAAATTGTTTGACTCGAAATTAGCTCGAAACTCAAAACGACGTCGTTTTGGATTCTCTTACCGGTAACATGTAATAAAATTCTCTTACCGGTAAGATATATTACAAGTCTCTTACCGGTAAGATAATCCAAAACGACGTCGTTTTGGATTCGGGGCAAATTCGAGCTTGAAATGTTCGGGACCTGTAGCAGCGTTGAACAGAGGATATTGTTTGGTGGATTCAATCACTAGTCTCATTTCAGTTATCTGAATCATTTATTTTGTACGACGTTTTGAGTAGATTATATTTATGCAAATTAATTAAACAATTTTAGCTACATAATAGGATCACAAACACACATATATACTAGGAAGTGGGGACACTGTTGCGTAGCCCGCGCAGCAACGTCTGTTGTGAGGAGATTTGGGCTCATTTCGGAGCCTATTTTGATAATCCGAACTGTTCACATTTTAGAATACGTCAAGTAGAACATGCTCGCAAAAAATCAAATTAATCGGATATCGTTTACCCATTCATTCACTCACATTTGTATCTATAAAAATAAATACAAATGTATTTTAACTTGATTAAAATGAATATAACTGTGAGTGGATGAATGGGTAAATGATATTCGATTAGTTTGATTTTTTGCAAGCATGTTCTACTTGACGTATTCTAAAATGTGAACGGTTTGGATTATCAAAATGAGCCCCGAAATGAGCCTAAATTGCCGCACAGCAGACGCTGCTGCGCGGGCTGAGCAACAACGTCCCCACTTCCTATCTACTAGAGGTGTGAGCTCATCAATGAGTGTGCTTAAAATATAAATTCTAATTTTTGAGCTAAAAACATATCTTTTATGTTATTTAAGTGATGAAAATGTTATTCATTATGTTCATCAATGGTCATAGGTTCAAGTTTTGTGACTATTTTTTTTTTCTCCCTTTTGAAAAGAGAAATTGACACTTGACAAAAGGAGAGAAAGAGACTCATAAAAGCCAAGTGAGTTGTTCATTTTTAATAATAGTATAAAAGATATATATATATATATATATATATTTAAATGGATAGTCTATTCTCAAAATCATACTTATTATTTTTTTTTAATGACAAATCTAATCTCTAATCATTTCGTAACATTTTTATTTTTAGTTTTTAATTTATATTTACAAAAATTAAAAAAATTGTTATATAAACTTATTTGGTAACTTTTTTGAGTTTATGAATGAGTTCCTTCAAATTAAAAACTGAGGAAAAATTATAAATTCAATAAAAGTATTTACTTTTGTTTATAAATTGATATAAACATGGGAAGGAGGCGAAAGGAAAAGCGGAAGGATAGGAGTTCAAACTCGAGGAGCTTCATTATGAAGCAAAAGCAGAGGGAAACAAGTGTTTTTTTTTTGTTCAAACCATGCATGTTTATAGTTTTTAATTTTTTTAAAATAAACAAAAAAAGCCTCTGTTTGGCAAGATGGTTTTCAGGCTTTTTTTGGCTATTTTAGCCACAAAAAACAAAATAGGCTATTTTAGCCATAACAAACAAAACATCACATCCAACCCATAATCATTACATTCTTCTCTCACAAAAAAAGCCAAAAAAGCCAAAAAGCCAAAAAGCCCTTCCCAAACCAAGCTTTTTAGCCCAGGCTAAAATAGCCAAAAAAGCCAAAAAGTCAAAAAGCCAACCCACTTCCCAAACGGAGGCTTTACAATTTTTTTTTATAAATATAAACAAAAAACATAAATATTTTTAAAATCAGTTATACCAAGTTGAAATATAATCATAAATTGATGATCAAAATTGAACAATTGAAATTATAGAGATTAAAATAATATAAGAACCAAAATATAAAGATTACTTTCATAATTTACTCCAACTACTTTAAAATAACAAGGGATAAAATGATTGGGAACCATGTCATGTGTGGGTAAAATATATTTTGGCCTAAAATCTTTCATATCTTGTATGGAGGTATTTGATAGAGTTGAAAATTGAAAATTAAAGACTGAAATTAAGTATTAAAAATTGAATGTTAAATTTGTTAACTAGAAAAACTGTTTGATAAAAATTTAAGTGTTGAACTAAAAATAAATTGTTTGATATGTATAATATCAAATTTAAAATTTATTATTTTTAACTTCTATATTTTAATTTTTATATTGTGATGGTGGTGATAGAGACGGCAATAGCAACATGGTGGTGGTGGTGGTGGTGGTGATAGCAGTAGCGATGATAGAGATAGTAAAATAATGGTGATACAACAATGACAATTGTGATGAAAGTGATGGCAGTAATAGTTGTGGTGGTGGTGTGGTATGATTGTGGCTACGGTGGTGGTGATGGCATAATGGTGATTGTGGTAGTGGTGGTGGTGGTTATGGTGGTAGCGGTAGCGATGGCATAATGGTGGTGAGTTTGTAATAATGTATATTAACACTTATACTTAATATTTATAAATCCAGTCAGAATTAAATAAGTTTTATGACTTAAAATATTCTTAAATTTTAGCCTATAATTTTAAGAGATGTTTAAATTTTTAAATGATATTTATTAAACGAATTTAATTAATTATCACTTAATACATTTAGGCCTTATTTAAAAATATATTATTTTAATAATTTTTTAACATTTTATAAAATATATATATAAAAAATTAAATTTATAAAAAAATATATAAAAAATTAAAATAATAATATGATGACTTATAATAATTTTTTTAACTTTTTAATTAAAATATTTAATCCTCAAACCACCTTTTAATTTTAAGTGTTATGATTTGGAATGATTTAAATAAATGTATTTTTAAGATTTTTATAAAAAAGTGTGTGAAATTTTTTAAAAAATAATATGATAAAAAAAAGATAAAATATCAAAAAGATGAATTATTTAGGAACGTCAAACAACGTTAAGAACCCGAATCCAAGATTTGTTTTTCAAAAAAGCCAAGATCATCCCACGTCATCAACCTCCTTACTTTTAACCAGAAATATTAGTGGGACCCAAACTACAACTCCACGTCACAATCTTTGACACGTGGAAGTCACTTTATTTGAGAAACTCGCACGTATTAATCCCTTACGCAGATACTCCCTCTTGTAAAAATGGCTATTGCCAGATCCACGTTTGCTTTTACCACGGACTTCACAATCATAAGGGCAAGTATAACTACTAGTCCCTATACTTGGGATTATTTTGTCATTTTGATCATTCTTAATCTTAATTTGATTTGATTTTGATTTAAATATTTTTAATTTGTCTCACATTAGTTTAATTGATTTCAATTATTAACATTTTTTTATAATAAATATTCACATAAATGGCATATATTATATTTTTAAGGACAAAATTGTAAACTAAATAAACTAACATTTTCAATCAAAAATCTTAATAATATTACCAAGTGAACCAAATAAGGCAAAATTTTTAATTATAAGAATCAAAATGATATAAGTAATAAAATGTACAAACTACTAAGTAGAAATGTGTGAGGTGCGGTTTGAATAGTTTGAAAGTAAAATTTTAAATTAAATACAGATTGGTAAATAATCAAATCCCAATTTAGACAATTTTGATATTTTATTAAAAGATAAACAAATATATATGTAATAGTTATAGTGGAGTGAAATAATTTTGAAAATAAATTATAAATTTTAAAATTTAGGCCTCGTTTGGGAACATGCTAATTAAGTAACTTTTTGACTATTTGGCTAAAAAGGTAGATAAAAAAAACTTGTATGTTTGGGATAACTCTTTGGCTAATTACGAAAAGATGTGCAAAAAGTAGAGAGAAAAGAGAATCTTTGACTTTTTAGTATGAGTTGTTGGCTTTTTGACTAATTTAGTAACTTTTTGGCTAATTAGTTAAAAAAATAAGTCCCCAAACGAAACCTTAATCTATAATTAAAAGATCGAATGAAACGAATTAACACTAATCAATGTGATTTTAATAGATTTAACGCTATGTATAATTTGTCCATCCTATAATAATGCTTTTATGCAGCCGTACAAATATCATTTTGGTAATAGCCATAATTTGTTTGCCAGTAACAACATCCGCATAGATACATACACAAACACACACACCCCGATGGAACAAAGATAAAAATTTTCTCGCAGAGAGACATCACTTTCAGTCGCCGATTTGACCTTCACTCGACGGAAAATTAGTACGATTTCATTATTTTATTTTTTTTCATTTGATTGTACACATATATGTGCATAGAACAAGTATGATGTGTATATATATATATACAGATATTAAATCTCTAAAACTGTATGAATCAACAGTTGTAAAATTGGAGTTATAATTTTTTGATAGAAAGATCACATATTCTTTGTTTGGTTGCCGAGAAAACGTAGCTAAATAAAAGAAATTAGCGTTTTCATTTTTTATTTTTTGGACCCTAGAAAATGAAAACAACAATAAACACGGTGCTGACTTATCAGTGTTGATTTTCTTTTCTTTTATTTTCCTTTCCTCCATTTTCTTATATTGTTTCGATTTGCTTTGAATTCGCTGCAATACAAATGATTGCTATATTGTCAGTTATGATGCAAAAAATATTAGTGTAATTTAAACCAATTGCAGGAAGTAAGTTCACTATTTCTTTTAATTGATTCAGTTCTGCTGAACTTTTCAAAAAATCTTTAATTTCTATATTATCAAATTTTTTTGTTTTTGTGAAAATTTATGTTGAATTTAGACTATGATAGTGAGAAAGATTTCCTATTTGAATTTTTACAGGCAAAATAATCTAGGGTTCTAGTTAGAACTATATTGATTGTGTGATATGCCGTATCTGGTACGGGAGCACTTATTTATCAGCAATATCAGTGATGCAGCAGAGGTTCTTCAGAATGATACTGCAGAAATCACTCATATGCTGTCAGTCCTTAGTTCGGCATCAATATCATTCTTCTCTGAATGGCGTCGTGGTCTAGTGATTCCTACAAAAGAGATTCGCAAGGTGTATGTTGGGGGCTCAGAGCCCGAGAATGATTCTGGTGGTCTAGTGATTCCTACAAAAGAGATTGTTGAGGGCTCAGAGCCCAAGAATGATTCAGGTAACAGTCCAAAGAGTTCCTTGTCGCCACAGAAGCTTCTATACTCTCTCGAGTATGCGGGAAAGGATTTGAAATTGGTGAGGATGGCGGTTCCGCTTAGAGATATGGAGGGTGAGAATTTGTTGGATTACTTGGATGTGTGTTTGGATTTTATTGAAGAAAGTCGAAAAGAGGGATCCGTGTTGGTGCATTGCTTTGCTGGTGTATCAAGAAGGTACATTTATCTAAAGGTTTATTTGCACATTTTGGTTGTTTGTTTCTTGTTGAGGCTTGTTTCACTGGATTTTTGTAGATGTAAAAGTTTGTATGTTGTTAATGAGTTAGGCACACTTTATTTTCAATATGTTTTTTGTTTTTGTCATTATGCACACGCACTATACTAGTATTAAGCCAGAAAGTTTCTTAATTTAGGATGATCTAGATCTACTTTATGGGGTTCAATTTAAGGCTTAAATTATTCTTCACAAAGTTTGTTAGGCTTAAAGGAAATTTTAGCAAAGGTTGTGTCAGAGACACAAAATGCTCGTGTGAAGTTTGGGATGCGGTTTTGATTGCTAATGAATGTGTGAATTTTCGGTTAGGTAGTGCAAGGTCAGGTCTCATAGTCATATCTAATCTTGATATTGAAAAGGCCTTTGACAATGTTAACTAGGGCTTCCTTCTTCATTGCTTGGATAGGATGGGTTTTGGGACCAAATGGAGAAGCTTGATTTATTTTTATTTTTTTTCCACTGTGAGACTATTTGTTCTTGTTAATGGTACTCTGGAGCTAGTTTTTTGGGACTTCCAGAGGATTTGAAATTGGTGAGGATGGCGGTTCCGCTTAGAGATACGGAGGGTGAGAATTGGTTGGATTACTTGGATGTGTGTTTGGGTTTTATTGAAGAAAGTTGAAAAGAGGGATCTGTGTTGGTGCATTGCTTTGCTGGTGTATCAAGAATGTACATTTATCTAAAGGTTTGTTTGTACATTTTGGTTGTTTGTTTCTTGTTGAGACTTGTTTCACTTGATTTTTGTAGATGTAAAAGTTTGTATGTTGTTAATGAGTTAGGCGCACTTTATTTTCAATATGTTTTTTGTTTTTGTTATTATGCACGCACTCTGTACTAGTATTAAGCCAAAAACTTTCTTAATTTTGGATGACCTAGATCTACTTTATGGGGTTCAATTTAAGTCTTAAATTATTCTTCACAAAGTTTGTTAGGCTTCAATTACTTTTTCTGTGTCGGTAAAACTTCTTTATGATCATACTCTATATCAAACTCATAATCTACGTTTCAATCCAAGTACACCTATATCTAGTGCCCCTTTTTCTAACCTTGATCCACAATTTTCTGATGAAGGGAAGAATGAGGGAAAGTATAGAGGAAGAAGAAAAAGAGACAATCAAGAGAGAGAATTCGGCAAGGAAAACTTTGATTCCTAATACATCATCATGCCTACATTTATAGGAATAATCAAAATTAAGAAACAGTCCAAATTAGGAAACAAATCAAATTTAAAATAAAAATAGGAGCTGCTTGCTTCTATGACTAAAGTATATATGTTGCTCTCCATGAATGGAATCAATTCTACACGGTTGGGAATAACTGGCCCCTAGACAGTAATGGTTATGCTACTACTCCAGAAGATCTGAATTAAAAAGTGAAATTCATCCTTCGTAATGTTTGTAGCATCCATGTTTGGACAATGACTCCATATCACAAGGTATTGTCGATAACCACTCTGTGAAGATGTAAGTTGTGAGTCTCAGAAGCATCCTCAACCAATCCACTTGCAGGGAAAAAGAGGAAGAACAAAAAGAGAGACAAGTAGGTAAGCAAAATTTCGATTCAATGTTATGTGAACAAAGTCATAAATGTATAATCCCGGTACATTATCATGCTTATATTTATAGCCAAAGCTCAAATAAAGAAACAATCCAAATGGGAAACAAATAAAATTGAATGGAAAATTAAATTCAACTCTAAGATTTCTTCTCCTTGGGTGCCTAAAGTAAGTATGTAGCACTCCTTTATGATCCAAATCATACATATTTTAAAAAAAAAAATTGATGGAGCAATAATCTTATTGGTGAGTTGACAGTATGATAGTAGGGGATACGCTTCTTACTTCTGATGAGGAGTTTAATGCTGGTGTTGTGCGGTTCTATGATGACCCTTACATAGAGGTTTACAGTTGGAGATGTCATCTAGATGGTATGCAGTTTATCCAGATCTCTGCAAAGGAGGGCCATTGGTCAAAATGTCCATTTTTTTGAAGAGGAGGTGGTGGTAGCATTGAAATCCTTTAATGAGGACAAAGCTCTGGGATCAGATGGAATGACTATTGCTTTGCTCTAACAATGTTGGGATCTTATTAGGGAGGACATGATGGGGCTTCTTCCACCATGTTTAATTAATGAATTATTTATTTATTTTATACAGTTCGGTTTGAAAATAGTCTGAATTCCTCCTTTGTGGCCTTAATCACCGAGAAAGGGAAGGGAGGAGAGGGCAATGGCTCTTGTTAGAGATTTTTTTACTTATTTACCTTATTGGTGGCTTAAATAAAGCTTCTGGTCCAAGGAAATTTTAGCATAGGTTGTGTCAGAGACACAAAATGCTCGTGTGAAGTTTGGGATGCGGTTTTGATTGCTAACGAATGTGTGAATTTTTGGTTAAGTAGTGCGAGGTCAGGTCTCATATTCATATCTAATCTTGATATTGAATAGGCCTTTGACAATGTTAACTAGGGTTTCCTTCTTCATTGCTTGGATAGGATGGGTTTTGGGACCAAATGGAGAAGCGGGATTTATTTTTAGTTTTTTTTCCACTGTGAGGCTATTTGTTCTTGTTAATGGTACTCTCGAGCTAGTTTTTTGGGACTTCCTAAGGTTTTTCTTAGGGGGAATCCTTTATCCCCTATGCTAGTTATTTTGGGGATGGAGATTCTGAGTAGGATGATTGATGTGGTGGCACTAGGAGGTATTTTGGAGGGCTTTGAGGTGGGTAGGGTTGATGGCGCTTCCATCTCTTTTTCATTTGTTGTATACAAAGGATATTTATAATCTTTTGTGGTATAGATAAGTCGTGCATTAATTGTTTTACCTTATATGTGTGTTCCTTTGTTTTAAGGTAAATACAAGTCTGAATATGAATCTTAAGAAGTTTTCTTTGATTCTGTTTAGAGATGCCTTGCGGGGGAACTGGCATCCATGTCGGGGTTCTAAGGTGGATGCTAAGAAGCATGGACACTGACATGCGACACGACACGACATGACATGGATATAACACGGACACGCTGACACGTTAATTTTCAAAAATTACAGGATACGACACATTGGGGACACGCTTGAAATATATAATTTTATATATTTATTGTCATATATATGAATATATCATTTAAAGATAATAAAAAAAATGTAATATAACACTTATTTTATAAATTTACATAATTTTTTCTTTTGTTATTTTATCTTAAGTTATTTAGTTCAAACTTATAATTAGTTTTATTTATGTCTAATCGGTGGATACGTGTGTTTAAACAATGGACATGAGTGCCCAAAGCATGTCCAGATCTAAAAAACTTTTTAAAAACTATGACACATTTTGACGAGTGTCGGACACATGTCGGGAAGTGTCTAACGAGTATCGTTGTCCGACATGGATACATCACCTTCTTAGAAGTGTTTGTGCTTTTTAAGGCAGATGCTTTGCTTGTGAGGGACTTGGGGTTGTTGTCAGGGGTGTCTTTTAAAGTGAGGCCTGTGTAGGTACAATTCCGTTGTTGAGAGGTTTCAAAGGAGGTTGATACACATGAAACTAATTATAAGTTAGAACTAAATAACTTAGGATACAATAATAAAAAAGGCATGAGGAAGATTCTCACCATTAATAATCTCAGAAGTAGCAAATTCATGTGAAAAGGAGTTACAAGTATACAAAGGAAGAGGAGTCGGTAAGTCTCCTTGTGAACTGTGAGGCAACCAAGGTTTATGATCTTTGGTTCTAGGGTTGGTTGGAGTGGTTTGCATTTTTCCTAAGAAGGTGGTGGACCTTTTTTGCTCTTGGAGACGCGTGAGGATGAGCGAAAGGAGGAAGTCTGCGAACTTGGTGTCGTTAGCTCTTAGGTGGATCATTTGGCAAGAACGGAAGAGAGTCGCTTGTTAAGCTTCGTTGTTTGTTTTTAGCTACATTATATAGCTGGTTCTCAGATGCTATATAGCCATCTTTGGACCAAGTCGGCCACAATTTTGGGAATGGGAATCTCTTAAAATTGCAATCTTTGGACCAAGGTTTATGATCTTTTGTTCTAGGGTTGGTTGGAGTGGTTTTCTTTTCTCCTAATAAGGTGGTTGACCTTTTCTACTCTTGGAGAGGCGCAAGGATGGGCGAAAGGAGGAAGGCTTGGAACTTGGTGTCATTAGCTCTTATGTGGATCATTGGGCAAAAACGAAAGAGAGTCACTTGTTAAGCTTCGTTGTTTGTTTTTAGCTACATTATATAGTTGGTTCTCAGATGCTATAGAGCCGTCTTTGGACCAAGTCGGCCACAATTTTGGGAATGGGAATCTCTTAAAATTGCAATTGTTGGACCAAGGTTTATGATCGTTGGTTCTAGGGTTGGTTGGAGTGGTTTTCTTTTTTCCTAAGAAGGTAGTGAACCTTCTCTACTCTTGGAGAGGCGCGAGGATGGGCGAAAGGAGGAAGGCTTGGAACTTGGTGTCATTACCTCTTATGTGGATCATTTGGCAAGAACGGAAGAGAGTCGCTTGTTAAGCTTCGTTGTTTGTTTTTAGCTACATTATATAACTGGTTCTCAAATGCTATAGAGCCATCTTTGGACCAAGTCCGCCACAATTGTAGGAATGGGAATCTCTTAAAATTGCAATCTTGATCCATATTTTTATCGTAGTTCTTGTCTAGAAGATATTGAAATGCCTTTTCTTTTTCATTTTTTTTTGAAACTTTCAGTGGTAACAACATAGTTTTGTTATGCTTTCATCATTGAAAATTATTTGAGCTGTCTCAATGATGCTGAAGCAGCTATCCATTCTGTTGCAACATGATCGAGTCTATGTTGCATGCTGCTATGATGTAGATTTAGGTTTGAAGAGGATCCATTTTGGGTTGAGTGACAGCTTTGCTAACCTTGATATCAATTGTACAATTAAATGAACTCAAGCAGCTTATAGCATGTCCATTCTGAATTCAAACTACTATTGGTGGTTTTTATTTTTGAGATTATGGATGTTGCATGTTGTCATTTGATTTGTTGTATGATCATGCATAATGGAGTGTGGCAGTACCCTTTTAAGGTGTATGATAGCCGTTACAAGGATGCTTCTAATGCTCGAGTGTTAAATGGAAGATTCTAAATGATTTTGTACCCAATTGGGATCTTACATAATTAAGTGTTGGGTCATGTTGAGTACTATTTTATGTTCTATTTGAGTTTATCTCTTATTGGTTTAGTTTTGCATCTTTCTGGTCATTCTCATTAGTCAAAAGGGTTTTTTTTTTTCCCTTTTCAAAAATCTAGTTTTTCAGAAATGGACTGTAGGGGGTTGCCCATGGGTTGCAGTGTGACAAGTTATGTAATTGGATTCTTACTGTGATTGTATTTGGTCATTCTCATTGGTTGAATGGTTTTTTTTATTTTTTATTTTTTCATTATTTAGAAATGGGCTATAGAGGTTGCCCATGGGTTGTACTGAGTCAAGTATGTATTTGATTCCTACTATGGTTCTTATTTAGTTTAAAGAAGTTTTACAAAATCGTAATTTTTATAAATTTATTTCTAAATTAGTAGTCAAAAGCATACTGTGATGCCTGAAGTGTTCTAGGATAGATAACTAGAATATCCTTCTTTCTTCTACTTCCATAGTATCTGCACTTTAGCCTTTAAATTATCAGAATTAGATTCAATTCAATTTATGGTCATGAAAATCCTAACAGACAAGCTTTTTTTTTTTCCTTTTGCTCAATCCTTCTTCAACCTTAACACCTAAAGAAAAGAGACAAAAAAAAAACCTGAATAGCCTCAGAAATCCTACATTCTTGTTCCTGAAGTTGAGTCCAATCAATTCTTAATCAATCCAAATCCTCATTACACCAAATCCTAATTTGAATATCCTTGTTTGATTGCCCTAAACCTTATGGTTTTACATCAATGCACTGGTGCTTTATTTTACGTGCACAAAATTATAGCATTCATAGTCAGATGCACTTCCATCTACTAGTCATTTATCTTCTTATGTGAATTAAGCATTTCTAAAGTCCATAAAAACCACTTTCCACTCATGTCAGTCTTCTGATTATTGTGAAGATAGTGTCCATAGAAGGCATATATTCTGACAGATCTAGTTTTCTGCTTTATCAAGTTCTACAGGTTTACACTCTTTTTTGCTGTGTTCGTTGCAGTGCAGCTATCATTACAGCATACCTGATGAGAACTGAACAACTATCACAAAAAGGTTTGAGCATATCCTTTATTTTGGAGTGTTGTGGGCCTATCAAATTTGCTTGTGCTTCTATTTTTTTGTTTTTTTTTTTGGTAGTGGTGATGAAGCGTTGACAATTTCTGTACTCATTTTTATTTTATCATTTCCTTTTTTCTTTTTTCTCTACATACTTGTGCAGATGCACTTGAATCTTTACAGCAAAGCTGTGAATTTGTTTGTCCCAATGATGGTTTTCTGGAACAGGTGAGGCAAGGCAATGCTGTATCAAATGTTTTATAAGTAGTGTTCCAAAATGCTTCTTAGTTTTACTTTGCATTATGTTTTGTTTATCATGGATGCCTTTTTTTGGTCTCCTTGCAGTTAAACATGTTTGAAGAAATGAGTTTCAAGATCGATCACACTAGCCCTATATACAAACGCTTCCGTTTGAAAGTATTAGGTCTGATTCTTATTTGCTTATTATCACTATTTTCTATTTTTGGTGTTTATTTACTTTTGATTTATGATTGTTCTTTTCAGAGGTAATGTTTGTTTTGCTCAATAATATAAAAATTATCAATTTTTATTTTAAGTGAGGAGGCATAGAGAACAGTATGTTGTTAATGCAGAATTCTGGGATGTGATAGTGGGGGAGTAAGAGGCATTGTGAGATGTCACAGCCCGTAGACTGAGTACGATTTTTTTGGGGATAAGCAACTCATTACGGTTCCTTTATGCAAATAAGTAAATATCCATTGGGAATATAGGGAACATGAAGTTGGTGGGGGTCTGGAAATGATGTGAATGAGAGTAGCAAGAAATGAATGGGAAGGTCATGATCTGATTGTGTGTAATTTGGCTCTAGATTATGGAATATGAAAAAGCAACATACTTGTCAAAACAAAAATGGAAAAGCAAAGCAACATACTTGATAAAACAAAAAAGGAAAAGCAGCATTAATTTAATTTATTTCTTACCATTCAGACAAGCTCGTCTAGGATTTGGCAACAAATTCTTTCAGAAACATTTACCAGATCATCATAAGATTTGGTTTAGTTGAGAATTTGATTTCAATTGTGAGCTGAGGCATTAATAGTTTGAATAGTACCCCACCATTTTTATTAGGGGAAATTACCATTCAATGGGAAATGGGGCAATTATTTATTAAAAGATGAGAATCTTGTTGGGGTGTAACTTTTGCTGTGTTTGTAATTATTTTTGGCCATGTGCACTGATTTGTAAATGTAACCACCCAACCCTTCATATGTCATCAATATTATCCGCTTTGTGTCACGCCTGCACGGATTTGTTCTTCCCAGTGGGTCACCCATCCCAGAACTACTCCAGCCTAAGCACGCTTAACTGTGGAGTTCTGTTAGGGA